AAACCATTAGCGTTTGACAAAGTCGGCAATATTTTTTCCACTTCTTATATAAATCTCCGAGCCCGAACAAAGACATCAATTGATGGTGCCATATAATAAATCACGTAGGAACAAGGCAAACGGAAGCATGGAAAAACAAGAAACCCTGTCTGACTTCATTCTTGAATCAACATCATAACTTCCATTCAGTCGACTAACTCTCCTTTCAATCATACGTCGTATTTTACTGATAGAAGTTGATTTAGTATAACTCCTTGGTGTCTTTATATTATGCATGTGTTAAATCAAATAATTTGCTAAAATAGAAGTGATATCGCCAATTCAAATATCAAGAGACAATGTGACACACACTAAAGTTGCTCTCTAAAAACGTATTTCCTATCCGTGACCGCACATTCACGCAATTCAAAAAAGAAACGTTCATGTAGTCCTGTAATCGCCAAAATTATTCCATGCATGATCTCCACATTACTTCCAGCTTCCACAAAACTTCAGCTTCCCATTATATCTAAGTCATATGTAACGTTAACATCTCTGCTCTGTTCCATGTTATAAAAAACTTTCCACAAACCATATAAGAAATTAGAATTCCGCCCATGAAAAACCTGTAAACCGTTCAGTTCAACAAGCAAAATTAAGAATGCCCCAAAAATAGGAAAGGAACGTAATCAATATATTATTGAAAATTGAGCATTGCAAAATTTCATTTATCCATTATTCCCGATGTTAAGTATATATAAAATCCACAAAAAATTCAGTGCGAATTTTCAACGCTCAAACACATATCATGAACCAGTTAAACTAGGTTACCGGTATCAATGCACTATTCGAAATTTCATGCAGGCATACTATCTGAACAGCCCTTGAAGACCATTCAGAAGACCATTCCGATTAAAAGCAGACTACCTTTCATTACAACCACACATATTCATTGACTACAAAAATCATTTTAGCAAACTTCCATCAAAATCATGAAACTTTTAACCCCACGCACAAGGCGAAACCCATTTAACCCAATACAAGACGCATCTGACCAAACGATGAACACTTCTATAAACATGACTATGACTTACTGCGTCCATCTTAGACGCTATTGAAAAACATACTAAAGCGATGTGTCAACGAGTAATAGATTATGGAAAGCTGGACGTAATACGAAACCAAGCGATTCTTTCATAAATCTGCATCATCACCAGAAACGCAGCTAAACTCCAAGAGACAGGCCAACGATCGTAATGATGTGTCAGCCCACACACAGCAAACGACTATGCGCCCGTCCATAACTGCATTGAATAACGAAGATAGACAGGCGACGATCGACAACAATTATGCGAACAAACAACTTCCAAAGACTAATAGATAGTAAGTATAGAAGACCATCAGCAAACAAAATAAGATCAAACAATTCTGCCCACTTGAAAATCATACGCGCCACACGCAGTACACAGCCCAAAAGCACCAGGATATGCACTTTCAAAGGCCTTCAAGACTTATGGATGCCGCCATAGCATAAGTCTTGGAGATCTATCGGTACTCCCAATAGGAAATAACATGAGGACTTATGGGCACCCCTATAGGATAGGCCTTGAGGACTTATGGGTACCCCTATAGGATAGCCAGTGGGGACTTATGGGTACGTGTATAGAGTGTGGCTTTATCAGTTCTCCGAACTGAGATGAACTGCTCGACCAGTTCTACGGAGCTGAGCTGAACTGTTCGAACAGTTCTTTGGAACTGAACTGAACTTTTAGAACAGTTCATAAGCTCTTTTGAACTCAGTTGACGAGCTGGAACTGTCGTAGGTCTAACGGGGTGCTTTTGACCAATAAATTGACTATAACTCATTAGTTTATTGGAAATTTGGAGGAGATATTTCACCCATAATTTATCCTATCCTAGACTAATATCCTCCAAAAATTTGGGTGAAATCGGACGAAAAATAACAAAGTTCGTCTCTGAGGGGGCCCTTAAGGGTTTCCCCTTTTTTGACCATTTCTGGATCTAGAAGACGGTAAGACCGATCGGATCCAAATTTTTACCATAGATAAAACACCTAAAATAACGAGGCATCTGTTCAAGGAAAAAATTTTCAAAGAAGGTTTTCATGTTTTTTTTTCTGGAAAACTTTGGTTTTCGATAGGATTTCACCTTGCCAGGGAACGACCCTATCAGACTTGGCCCGATTGGGCTGAAAATTTTTTTTGAGATGCCTACGACTATATCTCAGAGGTAGTTTCGAGCTTTTTCAAAAATCTTACTTTCGTTTTTTTTTTTATAAAAAAGTACCGAAAGGTTCTGGCCAGAATCGGCGTCCAGACTTTCAGAACCCTATAAATCAGGATAGAAACGTCAGAAATGAAAACAGCCGATTCTACCTTTGGAGGATACTGGGAAGTATCTGGGGTAAAAATTTCAGCCCGGTCGAACAGAGTTAGAGCACTGTATTCCTCTCATACTTCCTTGTACTCCCCTGTACTCCCTTATACTTCAAAAAAATTTTGAAATAGATGAAGTCTCGCTTTTTCCCCTTGGTTAGTGCTCAATTGATATTTGGGACATTGGTATATATACCAGTCTTCTTTTCGAATCCAAGTGTTAGTTAATAGAATTTAAATATATTTATCTATTTTATGATTATCTTTTTTTAGATTTGTTTGACTTTTAGGTATTGAATTAAAGTAAACCCCCTACAGAATAGAAGCACACTATGTTTCATATGAACGTATAACAAATAACGCAAAAAAATTGGAAAAATTAGCTCATCGTTTCTGGCTGTGTTATTATAGACCAGTTTATGTGCCTGATTCTTTTGTAATATGTTTTCTACCAATAGAAAAATGAATTTCTTTTGTGAGCTGAAAAGTACGTATGTATGAGCACTCCTTCAAAATAACTATCCCAGAACAGCAGATGAGGAACCAGGTAGACAATAATATCATTCTGTTTAGATGTGTGACAGCTCAGCTCAGCTCACAAGAGCTGGAGCTGAACTGTCACACGCCTAATTCTGTTATATTTCATGCTATTATGAGATCATAAGCAGTTCAAAAACGAAACTATTTTAATTTTCATTATCTTGACAGAACTATCGGAAAATTCTTGACTGGAAAATGAGTCATCTTATAAAGGTGAATAATGATCGGTTAAAATTACACGAATATTTATTGAGCTCAAAAATAGAAACTAGTATGCTATGATACGACATTGATTATTATAAAATTTATGGGATCTGAAATATGTGTTCTACAGAAATAATCATTGGCAGATGAATGTGAAAGATAGTGTAAAAAGTTTTCTATTTTTCCGAGTTGATAGTATGGAGCTCGAAGAGCGCCAGTGAACCTCTATTTCCTCAAAAACTATTACAGGTATTCTGAAGTTGATCATACAGTTTGGGAAATTGAATTTAGTAATTCTTGGGTGCTTTCGTGCTTATGCACTAAGGAAATTTTATCCACAACACAAAAAAAGATGTTCGCAATAAAAGCCCACCTCCAAACTTTCGACTTCCAAAACAAATTAGAAGCCCAGTGGGCTTCTATTCTGTGGAGGGATTTATCGGATGTACAGTTTATCTATTGGTATAATAATACCCATAATATGTTCAATTATTACGAATAGTATCATTTTTCGTTATGCTCATCATTCAACACGACGTGTTCAAGCAATGAATAAAGAGAATACACAAACACCTCTTCTTAGCAATCGAGATGCTCGATTATTGAAACACATTATTTTCATAATAACAAGATTTGTTTTTGGTTGAGGACCAATATACATCATATTGATAATTAATTGGAATAAAACTGCTGTTTCACTTCTGGTAATAGAGATTTTTTTAACGATACCAATAGTTAATCTACTTATTGATGTTGCTGATTTATTCATATATAATTATGAGTTAAGAAAATATTTTTCTGCTCGACAACAATTGGAGCAAACTAATCGTCCAGGACAATGTACAAAAGTTTGATTATAGACAATCATATGTTATACGTGCTGTCCCGTCTTGTTTTTAAAATAAATATTGTGTATATAGATGTAAAAATAGAAGTAATTCACCTGCTTGCATCAAATGAACTATTCATTCAGACACATAAACTCACCAGACTTATATTCATTAAACTATCAAACGACGCATAAACATTTTTTTACTCATAGGCCTGGGATATCAGCCATGATTTCAAATAGTATCCATCACAAATTTTATACGAAATAAACATGCATTGAAAATGGATGTAATCAGTATTAAATCGTAAGGATTATGCCAATTTTTCAGTACGGAATTGATAGAAAAATTCTTTTCATGATACAGTTCATACTAATTAGATCTGATTCTAAATGACGAATATTACAAGATAATTTTTATTTTTTTAGTTTGATGAACATAACCTGTAATTAGTATGAAAATCACTAACGTTCTTCAAAGCACGAAGACAGGACGCATAGGGACATAAGATAGTTTCAAATAACTCGGTTTCTCTGTTTGTCTAAACATCTACTTAGGACAATCCAAAAGTAATGAGAATGGGACTGTAATTCCTTATAAACATAGTTGTCTTCAATTGAAGTAATTTGTCTCAATAAATCTTCATTTGTAAAATTAATTTTTTGGTCAATAGAACTATTTTTCAACATTATTCCAAATAGATTTCCATTCAAACAATCATCAACAAATTCGAAAACAAAAACAACAACGATATGGATTATAATCACTAAACAAATGATTAGAAATAAATTTGATAAGGTTTCATAAATATTGCTTTTTTTTCTTTTCAAACAAATAAATTTTTCTGTCGCATATCATTTAAAGCCTATTGAATAACAATAATAGAGAGAAAAAAAAAAGTAATGCTATATTTTTTCATTTCTTCATTCATTGTCTAATCAAATAATTGAAAAGAATATCACTGTTTTCATTGACAATATCGGTCAACTAGAATCAATCAATACAATATATATATATATACTCTTGGAAAAATAGATATGTACAGACAAACATGCAACGTTTATTCATTCAGTTAGATGATTTACCTGATGTAATTCTTATCTATATATTTAAAAAATTGTACAATGTTGAAGTACTTTATTCTTTAATGGGTGTTAATCAACGATTCAATAGAATTGTACATGATACAATTTTTACTCGTGTTTTGTATTTACTAAAATATTGTCCAGACGACGATTCTACTTTTCCATTACCAGATCCAATACTTGATCGATTTTGTTCAAAAATTTTACCTGAAATTGGACACCAAATTGAAACTCTTTTTCTTGAACGAACATCGGTAGAACGTGTTCTTTATGCTACAAATTATCCTAATTTAAATAACCTTGGTTTATGTGATATTGACATCAAATTAGCTATGTCTCTGTTTGTTGGTATGAGATTTTTTTTGATTGGTTTCATTCTAGAATTAATTACTGGAAAAAAAAATGATTTATTTTGAAGATATAATTAATAGAATTAAACATCATCTACTAATAGAAAATCATTTTTGATTTCACTTTTATTTCCTACATAAAACATATCCTTTATAGGAACGTCATTCCGAGAAAAAGAATTTAATCGTTCATTTGTATAAGAAAAAAAAAACGATATTGATAATATATTCTATATAAATTTTTCAAGATTAATAGAGTCAATATAGAAAGTCTAGAAGAAAATCAATAATATGAGCAAGTCAATAAATGAGATAGAAGACAACATTGAGCATATACAATGTAATCTATGAGAGAATTGTAAAAAAAGAAAACATCACATATATAGATGAGAATGTTGTTAAATAGAAAATCTTAGATATTTTAATCGAATGAATAGAAACAGATCGGAAAAATATTTTTATCATTAACTTTAAAACTTTATTTAGATGAAAATCCTTTAATTCATATATTCAAGAATCAAGTTTCATCACTCAAGATCAATTTTAATAATAAAAACAATTCGTGTCCAATGGTAGGTATCTCTTCGGTGATATTTCAAAAAATTTTGACCATATATACTAATTTACGATGCTTAAAATACAATCCATCGTCATCTTTTGGTGACGCTTTATATTTATATCCGGGGAATGGAATTGCTATCTGTCCAACTTTATTAGAATTACATGTCAGTGTAACAGAAATGAAACAATGTCTTCATATACTTGATGGACGTTTTGATCAACTTCGTATACTTTATGTTACTTTTGATAGTGTTTCGCCTGAGCTTTTCAACATTGAAGATAATGTAGGTTATTTTTATTAATATTTTGTTTGTTTAAATGAACTCATATTTGTTTTCATTTTCAGCAAAAGCCACTACCAAACTTACGAATTTTTTCTTTGTGCTGCAATGATAAGATAAACATAAATGAGTTTGATGAATCAATTGTGCCATTTCTACGTCGAATGTTAAATTTAGAAGAACTTCATTTAAATATTATAGTTAAATGTTATGAAAAATTTATTTCAGGCGATACATTGAAGAAAGATATTATTATTTATATGCCACGATTATATAAATTCACATTTAATATTTGCTCAATCATTGATCATCGTAATCAAACTAATTTTCCATTAAATGAACATATTCAAAAAAACATTTAAATATTCTTTTAATAATCAAATAATTACTTGTATTGATCATTTCCAAGAAAAAGGATATAGTCAATGTCATATTTATTCGTATCCATATAAATTGAAAGTTTACAATAATATAACAAATAATTTTCGAGGTGGATTATTCACCTGTGTTACTCAAGTATCATTATATGATGAACGTCCATTTGAACATGATTTTTTTCTTCGAATTGCTCAATCATTTCCATTTATGAAAGAATTAACAATAAAGAATCAAACAGCACAAAATAAGAAACAATTTATAAAATCAAACAGCGATGATGAAATATTGTCAATTATTGAATATCCCAATCTTACTCGACTTGATCTTACTAACACTCATGATAATTATGTTGAACTATTTTTATTTGATAGGAAAATGTCTTTGCCAAATCATCTTCATCTTTGTGTCGATTATCAATCATTGGAAAGAGTGACATACTATTTTACAAGATATATAACACGAAATCATTGTGCAAAACTTGCTGGTGTATATTTTTATACATTGAATCAAATCGATGAAAATATCAAAAACTATTTTCCTCATACATGTATACGTCGTGCTGTTGATTTTGTATTATCTAAATAAAATCTATTTATATGGAATGAAATGATTGAAAGGGATAAAAGATAATGAATAAAGATAAGAATTTCAAAGAGAAATCAGTAGATCAGTAGATCAGTAGATCAATATGGCAATGATAAATATACGTGTTTCTTTTTTATTTATGCAAATTAATTAAAAGTTTTAAGACTTTTTTAAGCAAGCCTAATGCTGCTGTGTATTGATACCATTGCGAAGCATCTTTTTCCAAATCAATGTTGGACAAAAATTGAAAATAGCCTCGTAAATGTTCTATAGTTTGCGGATCACCTTGAGCATGTTTTGCCATATCGTAAAACAGGTTAATTGCTGTTGTAAAGGACTGTGGTGTGTGTAATTTTTGATATATTAATGCCATTTCGAATTCGTGCTGCATATTCCCATAAAATAAATATGACCATTGTTCCGCTGATAAGCAAAAATCTTTAACATATATATTTATTAAATATAACTGAACAAAAAAAAAACAAAAATATATTTACCGTTGCTCATAGCCATTTCAATAATTCGTGAATCATATTCACGACGAATACTTTCATAATTTTGAAATTCCGGTTTAAGTTTTATTGATGAAGAGCTGTCAGCTTGTTCTACCATCTAATATAAAAAGAAAAACTTCTGATAGAACCATTTCTTTTTTTGTTATTGTTGTATATTTACTTGAAAACAACAAGGTGTAATAGAAAGTAAATGGACAATATCGTGAACTCTTGAAAGAATGCCATATGGATCCTTTCTTTGTACTATTTGTGCCATAGATTCAACAAGATTTTCACCGGATGTTATTGGATGGCAGCATTTAAGAAATAATAAAATTGTTTTTAATACTTTTTCTTGTATAGATAAATTAATAAACAATGATTAAGATAAAAAAAAATAATTTGGAAAAAAAATCAAACCTGGTTCAGGAAAATGACCTTTTGGTAAACGAATAGCTGCCTCAAGATTATCTTTTAATTGTTGAGGCTTTTGATAATGACGAATACAATCAATACAGATATGTTCACCAAGACTACGTATTGCTTCAAGAACTTTTGAACGACCTTCATGATTAATATATTGATTATTTAATAAGCTAAATATTTTTCGTGTCGTTGAACGACTGAATATTGACTGACGTTTTTCATCATTAACTAAAAAATAGTCACATAAAAAAATGACATAAACTTTTTGTTTTTTCTTCTTACTTATTGGTTTAATGAAAAGTGATATCTCACCCAAAAAATCTTCCGTCACAGTAAAATATGATCTTGTTAAATCATCAAGTTTCATATAAGATGGACAGTCACCATAACGTTCTTCATTATCTTTAGGTAACTATATTTTAATAAAAAGAAAAAGAAAAAGGAAAAATTTTTTTAGTGTTTAATAATTAATTAAAATATTTACTTATTTTGGATCATAACGAATAATTAATAATGGATAATTTGTTGGTAATTGATTAATTGATGTATCATTTATTTCAAATGAAACTTCATCTTGTGGACATTTTTTTTCATCACGCATTATATAAATACATCCTCCACACATTGTATGACCACATACAGGTAATGTTATTGGACGATGTAATGGATTTTCATATGCAAAAACTTCTGAACATCCAGCACAACGTAAAAACTCCATATAATATGATTGAACTGATTGCTTTGATAGAGACATTTCTATTCAATATCTAAAAATAAATAAATAAACAAAATAGTTGTTATTAGAGGATTAGTTCTTCGGAACCTTCTGAATCTTTATTTCAAAAAGGAATACACACACACATAACGACGGACGACTGCATATAACCACCACACTCCTCGTCTGAGAGAAAACACACCTATATATATATGTCTAATAAGTCAAGGGTAGAGAAAAAAAGAATGAAAGACAACAAAGGGAAAGTGATATATGTTCGGATGATATCATGTAAGAAGAAAGAATGATATCATATCGAGGGATGAGAAAAAGAGAGAAAGAAGAAAAGATTCGAAGGCAATGTCTGTAACAGTTGTTTTCGTTTCTTTTTTCTTTAAATAAATCGTACTTACTAGCTTCGATAGATGATTTCTTGCATATATGTTGTAAGGATGATGTCCGGCAAAATTCTTTCTATCACTGACTATTTAACTAACTGAGTGAAGAGACAGATAGCAGAGAGAGAAAAAGAGGATGGCGGTGGACGTATTCGTGTATTCACTTTCTGTCTTATTTCTTCTGCTTAACGTATATGTAATGATGTTTCTATTGAAATCGCTAAATAGTGTTGATACTAATGATGAACCAATATAGAAAAAAAAATAGAAAGAATTTATCTTAAAAAAAACAATACTTTTAAAAGAAAATCTTTTATTTTATTGATTTTAAAAATTACACTTGCTTTTGAATTTTTTATTTTTCGAAAATAAATCCATGATGGTCCTTCTATACTTGACCAATTAAAATAAAACAAAAAAAAACGGACAAAAAAGAATCGATAAGAAATCGATATTGTTTAAATATGACATAATAGTTGCCATCCCCGACGAAATATTCTGTAAATAGTATTTGACCAGTTGATGAATACAACAAGATGATTTACATGATCAACATCAGATACTGAAATTACAAATTGAGTTTGTCTTACTTGTTGAAAATTTACGTTGAGGCTAGAAGATTTTTCTCAACTAACATATAACTTAATAATCGACCAGAAATTTGTATTAAAAACATAACTTAAATGAAAATATATTTTCTTTTAATTAAAAATTATCTTCAGTATATATAAGTATCGATATATTGTTAATTAGATATTGAAAAATAAACAATCAAAAAACAAAAACAAATCAATTAAATAAAACTTTAATTGTTTGATGTCTTTGTAAATGTTTAAGTCGTTAATATAGTTGATATTTTGTTTTTCGTATTAATTGTTCGATAAAATCTAATTCCATTTTTAATTCATCTGGTTTTATTTGATTTATTTGATCATCATCATCATCATCATCATTATTTATATAATTATGAATCATCATATGTTCATCATCAGCATGTCGCATTGCTAAACCTTTATTATGTAAATATTAAATTAATTCATTTGTTGTTGATATATTTTCTAGAAGAGTTAATTGAGTTATTCGATGATTTTAATGATTATCCAAACGATATTTACGATATAATGGAGAGATTTTATTTGTATTAACATTTTCTAATTTATTATATTTGATATAAGATACCTGAAAAGAACAAAACAAATCGTTTAGTTTATTTGTCAAATATAATATTGTGAGAAATAAATCATTTTGAATTAATTGAAAATGATCAAAGATGAGAGAACCTTTAAAATGCAAAGTATCTGTTTGTGTTTGTATATTTTCAAAATGAAAAACGATTGATAATGTCTAATATGTCTTCTAAACTATGATAGTCAATGTAACAAGAAAATATTTTAGAATAAATAATTTTTAATAGATTTTCATTTAATTAAAATCTGATATCTTTCATTTGAATAGAGATCGAACGTTATAAGATAGCAACGAACGATATTTTTTTTTCCGTCCTTTGTTTCGAAATCATTTGAAAGCTAATAAAAATATCCAAGGAGAAATTGTTTAATAACAGGACTATGAAATTTTTATCATATAGACAAATTCATTCGTTACCGACGTGACTTCCCAAAATAAAAGCGTGTATATCTCGGAACAATGGATTCTTCAAGAGATAATTTTTACATGTAATATGTATGTTAAGTTACTTTCGATACCCTATAAAAATCAACCCTAGAGACTTGTTCAGAGAAGTTATCACTAAAACACTATCGCTAATAATTTGAGTCACAAAGGAAGATCGGCTTTCATTTCATGGATTTTAACTGGATTTTTTTTTATTGACGATATAAAGCGTGTCATCAATATGATCTCGAAAGAACAATATTAAGTAAAAGACACAATTGAAAAAGCAGATGAACATTATATTCTATTTTTTATTTATTTATTTTCTTCTATGATAAATAATGAACTGACATGATGATTAATATTCAATTTTCTTATATCACTATTATTTCTATTTAGTACAATTCTTTGATTATTATCATCTAATATAAAATCAAATATATTCCAATAGACAAAGAATCATATTTGCCCTATATTTTGGATAAGTTTATCTTGATCTATTTATTAAACAATAATCTATAGAAAATCAATCCATATTAAACACTCTTATAGTTATATCTTCAATTACAATCATTTTATTAATACAAACTTGTAAGAAAAATAAATATACAGATAAATAATTATGCAACACGGATAGAGTGTTTGATTTTCAATTTCTACACCTATTTTATCTTGATCGTTTTTGCTTAAACCAAATGATTGATGTCACTTGCCTATAATGTACTTGTGAGAAAATGGATAACCTAATAGAGAATCATCTTTAACTTGTATTACGATAAAACATAATTTAGCAAGTCCACTTAGTAAAATATCAACAATAGGTATTGAAATGTTGATCGAGTAGATATCCATCTCGACTATAGTCAAACATTGAAAACGTTGAACATGTTTCAATCCATGTTTTAAAGGAATGTTGGTATCATCTGCTAATAACCAAGATTAGTGCACGATTGTCCAATAGTTTGCTTGAGAAAAGTAATGAACTGTTTATAATAAATGTGCTGACATTTTGACATGCCCTGAAAAGATAAAATAAACCTATTTTATAGCTAATATTAAACATGCTCGAGATTAAAGGAAACACTTATCAAATTAATATTTCTCTTTGATACATCCATTAAGAATCATTTTGATAAATTTCGAATAAAATAGTCTATGATCTATTCAATGTTCTTCAATTCAACTTACACTAATATTTTAATCAGATTATTTTTATTTTATATAAAAACTCATACACAACTGTGAAACAATTAAAGACGTGTCTTGTACTTGCTGTAGTAACACGAAAGAACTAAAAACTCTTTCATTAATAGTAATTGAAATCGAATTTATAAAATAAAATTGGTATACAATATAGTGAATGGTCAAGAATGAATAATATCCTAATTAAATATAGGCTTTCACCAAGTTTTATTTGATCTTATTCATATTTCAAAAAGTAACTCCTCTTGTAAAACTTTTCAATTTTGCTCTTTTCGAATGTCTTGATCCGAATATTTCTCTGACTTAATATTGATTAGAAATGGGTCCAATGTTTGACAGAATGAAAAATGATGTTTGTACAAAAAGTCTTTCTACCAGTGTTTGTTCATCTTTCAATTGCTAAAAGCATTTGGTATAAACCCAAAGTAGTTCGTTCGAATCAGTCTTATCTGATCTTCTCTATTTGTGTTCAGAGTATTAGAGCTTTTCTGCTGATCTGCACGTTACCAATTCCATAGAAATTATTCTACAAAATATATAGTAGAAAGTTCGAAATTTGGGGAGTAGAGAGAAAGTCCTTCTTGATCTACCTAATCGGGAAGCCTTGATGTATGTGTAACCGTCGGATGTGTGAATGTTATATAAAGCTGACAACTGTCGTCTATTAATAAGATTTATTTGGATAGAATATTAAATATCTGGTTGAGATTTAAAGTCTTCTCAGTGCAAAGCACATCGAATGAGATAGAGAAGTAGATTTCCAACTGGATTATTATCTCAGAATAGCTTGTGAACGAAATTCATTTGGATTACAATCACTGGACTTTAATGAAAAGTAAAACCTGTCTTTAGTTCCAAGTGCGATAGTCATGTTCTTTTTCAATAACAGACATTCAAGTTATGAGATGGCACCATATATGGAAACAATAATTGATTACACTCAATATTCTATTCGAGGATATTTTCAATTTCGATAAGCAACTTTTATTTAAAAGAGTTTATAAATATTGTCATGAACAATTAGAAAGTTGTACCTTTTTAAATCACATGATTATTTTTAAATTCATTAACTATTATAAATGAAATCTATCAGTATTTAATCAGTCGAGTATCTATTTTATTTCTTCGAATAGTTTTGAGTAACATCGCTTTTTTTTGTCACACGACTATAATGACAAAATATTTTCTTCTAATTCCTATTATGAATAAAGATTCTAGAGAAAAGCAGAAATAGTTTGTTCGGAGAAATTCACACCAAAATGCCTTTTACACATCATTAACATATATTAATATGGAACAAAATCAGTAATTTTCTATGCATAAAAGATAATTAAAGGTTATTATTGTATCTATGCTCTCTATTCTTTGTTACAACAGAGTTCAGATTAAATAAAATCTTTAATTTTTTTAAAGAATTTTCTTTTATTAACACAACTTATAACAAAGGAAAATATTGATGAAAATTTTCTGGTCGAACAAATGGTTAACATACATCAAGATTTGTCAATCTATCCAAATTGAAATACGTTACATCATTGGTGAAATTATTTGTTATCTTTATGAGTGATTTATATTCGATACGAAAATTTAACAAACGAGGTAGATGAACATTGTTTTTCAAGATAAATAGTTCAGCATAGTCAACATGTGCAGATTGTAAATTGAGAGATGTGAGATAAGGAAATGTGATTAATGTTGATGAATGTGGCTTGTCTTTTTGTGGATGATCATTAGATATATATATATAAGAATTGAAGAAAAGGAAAATCTTCAGAGATTAGTTTAAATAATTTATGTTCAAAAGGAATTTTATCATACATTATCAATTGTGGAACTTTCTGAAACATGCCACCTTTATAAGAATTGTTGAGATGAACAAAATTTTCGAAATCATATAGAACTGAATAGATAAATCAATGTCCTTCAGTCTTCATTGAATTAGTATGAACATATGAAGTAACTTGTTTCAATCCTCTTCCAATGAAACTACGTTGAATATCTTCATTCGATGGAAGTTCAACTTGAACTTTATCGTAAAAAGACTTCTGTGTTGATAGAAAATGTAAATTTCTTTAATTGTGTCATGTAAATAAGAAATTAATCATATAATTGAATACCATCAACATAACGTCGAGTCAAATATTGTTAATGATAGATATTATTTCAATTCTTCAAGATTTATTATTCGACAAAGTAATGGAACTACCGCAATATCATAATAACATGTGAAACTAAACGCAGTTAATGAAAAATATTTCAATTTGGGAAACTTTTTCTACAAATAAAATAAAAATAACTTATTTAGTTTAGTATTTATCTTCCAGAAGATCAGCATTGAAAATCTACTTACTCTTGAATCTATGTCTAATATTGGATAAAATATCTGTCCGACATTAATAATTAATGTTGATAAAGAGTCTAGATTACCATCAAGAAGATAAAGACAATCAACTAAACGTTGTAACATTGATTTTCAATTTGATTAAAGTTGAAGACATATGACTTATTGATGATAGATAAAAAAACAGGAGTCTCATACGTTCGTGTGGGAAACATATCACAATAATTCCAAACAGTTTCATTTTTACATAAACATAAGATTAACCCTTTCGTTACGGGGCCCGTATATATACGGGCTGAGCTTTCACTTGGATTACTTCTGTGACTTATATGATTTTCCTACTTTACTACAGTTCTGTAAGAGCATGATTTTTTATTCTCTATCTTATCCGATGTCTTTTTTTGTATACTTGTCCTAGCTAACCTTACAGGAATCGTACTTAGCGGC